TATGAAGATCCAAAAGTGCAAAATCTGGAGGAACCCGCGTTCCTGTTCTTCGAGAACCTAAAGAGATGGGAGAACCTTTATTGAGGAGTTTATTTGTTTTACTATCTACTTCCTTAATGTTTTAAGCTTTTGCGTTTGATCATGCCTTGAGCTCGATTTGGTCCCCTTTCTTTTTTAAATAAAATTTGAGTTCATTTTCATCAAATACTTTCAATCCTAACAGAATAAGGGGCATGGAAAATTTGATGTCAATGACACAACCCAGAAATGATCGTATGGCATTTTTTTCAAGCAACAAAAGTGCCCCACACAGCATCGTCCTTTAACTTAACAAAAAAACTTGTAATCTATTTGTTTCTTTTATACATCTTTCTTTTCTGATTGCATTCAATATTTACTTTTAGATTTTTCATCGATTAGGATAATTCATTTCATTAATTTTTTTGTATTTTTATTCGTAGAGTGTGTAAATGCTGCTTATTCTGTATGGTTACGGTGCACCATTTCACACTATTTGTCGGTTCGAATTAGAAGAGCATCATTGGTTATGCTTGATTGAAAGAAGTGATTACTTGACTCAAAATTGTTTTTGAATCTAACTTGGTAAGTAAATCATACGAGTATATGCTTTACATAGTATAACATGAGCAATTTAGTTGCTAGATTTTTCACTTTATATCCCAAAAAAAATGCTTGTGTTTTATGCATGTCTGTCTCTTTGAACAATATCCACCTCAAAGTAGGAATATTATTGATATTTCCACCCACAAATTGACCAATATGAATTTTATGATAGGGAACATTTGGGCTTTGCTAAACCATAGAAGTGTCTAACCTGCCCTAAAACAAATACTTGATAGATATACTCATATGCTTATAAAAAAACAGGCTAGCCATATCTCCCATATTCTTAGTAAGTTGTCTCTTGACATGATTTCTTTCTGTGACCCCATGCTAACAGATTAGCAATCCAAGAGAGGGCCTTTTCCCAAAAACTCTAACATCCCTTGCTGCTAACTCTTCCCTGTTTCCTTTCCTTTTTCCAACACATGAGACGGTATTTTCAACACCAGGTAGATTGGTGAAATTGCTCGAGGGATTTAACAATTTGAGGTGAGATTTAACTTTCCTCATGTGGGTGAGATTTAAATTTCTATGTTTTCTAATGGTATAAAGCAAACAAAAACAAATGTTCGTTTTATGACCACTAAAAAAAATGATCGTTTTATGAATCAAGTGTTGGAAATGAGCAAAATTATTACGGAGTATACAAACTCTAACATTTCAATGATTCCTTTTTATCCATCAAATGGTGAAACAAATTCTCTAAATCTAGCCTTATGATGGAGCAAAAAATTTTACGACGATACTCTCGGACAATGCGAAAACTCAACATAGAACACAACTCCAAATACTAACAGATTTCCCATGGTTTATTAATGAAAGAAATCGTTAACAAGATTACCTACGTACCTTTACCGTGTTTTGTGAAGGCAACAACAGAGAAAGTTATGAAAGTGAAACTGGTAAAATTTTCAAGAATTTTAAAATGCAAAATCAAGGAAATAGATTATACGGTAAGATTGTTGCTTAATTTGAATTGCTTAAATTTCAAAAGAAAAAAAGACGGCATGCACTTAGAGCCCGTAACTTCACTATTAGTTGGACGTTGGTGCGACTTCTCTATCAACCGAATCACATCATTATAATTTTTACTAGGCCGACTTTTATTCATTAGCCAAATGAATGAGAAATGTATTACTGAGTAATCTGCTAATATATATAGCTGTTAGAATAATACTCTATCACTTTTGAAAGAAGTTGTCTTACGATGATTTGGTGTTCAAGTTCTTATTGAAAACATTAAAGATTGTGCTTCAATAGTATACACTACAATCGTAGGATTTGTATGTCAAAATTTCTCAAAGTTTTTGAGGCGTCACATGGGATATAATGTCTATGATGATTTGTAATAGACCCCAGATCGAATGTACTAAATGACTACCCTGCTATTATAAATTCATACTCCGTAATATTTATCATTAATTTTTAATAATAAAGTGTATGCCTATTAAATTTTTAATATCTATTATTATTATTATTATTATTATTATTATTATTATTTAATTATGAATATGAATTTAGAAATTCTTAATTGTGTTATTTGTTTATATATATAATATTTAAAGTTATATCCTGTGCAATGCACGAGTGACTTCTGTTTGTTGTTGTCTTGGTAATCATATGTTTATTGCAAGTATAACCTAATATTCATTTACGTTTAACACTTTGTATTTGACACAAAGTACACGATAATGTAGACTTTTTTCATATCTTAAAATATCTCAAAGAAGTGCAAGTGGGATATGAAGGAGCTACACTTTTTGAAACACTGGAAAGGAATAAGGGTGGACTCGGTCCCGGACGAGTGACCGGACCACAACTGCCCGGTTTTGAACCAGGAATGGAAAATAAGGTGCCAGTCTGGCACGAGAACTGGGCCGGTGGGAAAGGGGTCGCGGTCTCAGGCTTTCATTTTTTACATCAGAAGCGTGTCAGTTCCAAGCATGTATGGTTTAAAGCTCTTGATATGTGACAACTAAGAAATCGAATTAGTTGCAAAAAAAACGCCATCCACAAAGTAGTTTTAAATACTTTGTGTACTAAAAATTCTAATACTCCGTATTATTTATTACTACTTCTTCCATTCGTGCGATATTGAATGACAAATTTTTAATACATTCGTAATTAACATTTATTACTTATTACCTATTGTAATTGCATATTACATCCCATCCCGTGCAATGCACGGGTGGAATACTAGTTATCATAAAAAATAATTAAAAAAATACGCCCGACCAACCATAAATCACAATATGGAAACTGTTGCTCTTGATAATACAACTACCTATGCGGGGAAATGGATAAGTAAAAAACATTTTTCACTTCAACCCTTATTTTAAACTTTTTTAAGGAATTGATATACTCCGTATTAAAGAAGCTCATTCCATGATATATTGAAGGAGCTCATTCCATGAGTTAGAAGATGGTGAATTTGAGTTTAAAATTGTCTTTAATTTTAAGGTACTAAGCATCACTGCATCACATGTACACAACCGGTTGGCTTGGCAATTTCTCTCATTAATGGCAGGGACAATAGTAGTTATGGAGTTTAAATATAAATTTTCTTCTATTTATCAGCATTCTCAACTATTTGAGATGATGAATTTTAATACTACAGTTTATTGCATCCTTTTTCTCTGCTTTGCATGAAATTTTAGAGGTGTATCATATTTTGATAACCCATTATTGATACATAGTACTATCGTATGTCCTAATAAAAATCATCCACCCTGTCTACTAAAACAGCTAATAAATACAATCTTTAATGTTTGTAAATGAGGATTATCTATTAACACAATAACACCTGCACCAATATTTGATCCAACAATCTATGCATTTTTAGGAATATAAGAGCGGGATGTGGATTGTACTCCATAAAAAATGGACACATCACAATTGTAAACGGCCGTGAAGGTGACGTGGACACATGCTCAATTAAAATCAAAATATCATTCTCCAACGGTGGCTTTTCTTCTTAGAACTTTTTTCTCCAAAGCCATCCGGCCCATCCCCAAGAGAACAAAGTCACTACTGGCCGACCCACCTGTACCCCTGCAAACTAATCTTTTAAACTTTAAGAATATATATATATATATATATATATATATATAGATTTAGGATCAAATGAGAACAACCCTTAACGTGAGAACGTGAGAACACCACATTTACCCAAATGTGATGCACAATGAGGCTCGCCCAATGCACATTTTCGCGTTCGGCACAGTATTTACTAAAATGCCACCGTCATTATTTATATAGGCTTATTTTGAGCTAAACCCAAATGTGCACCTGACGGGCTCAAATGTGTATCACGCTGGGTTAATTGTGAGTGTTCTCACGTTCTCACGTTAAGCATCGTTCTCACTGGAACCGCACCCTATATATATAACCATTAAAATTAAAATAAAAACATGAAGGAATACTGTGATTACAACCGGAAAGAAAAAATCAGAAGAAAAACTAATTGGAAAATAAACTGTGAGGATGAATAAATCGGATCCAATATTTATTCATAACTGAAAAGAAAGAATCGGAAGAACACTAATACAGAAATTTTATATCCAAATCACTACTTTGAGAAAGGTTTTGTGAAAACGGGACTAGGAAAATGCAGGTTTCAACACCATGATTAGGTTTAAAATAGATGAAGTTGATTTTCTGTTCTGGATGTGGCTTTTGAAGAAGATGCCAAGAAAGTATTTGGCGTTCCATGGGCCTCCGAAAGATGCAAAAACTGAAATTTGTTCCAGATGTCTTTAATGTTTTAAATAATTTGATTTTCGGCAGACGATTTTTCACGGCATATCGTTAGAATTTTTTGTAAAAGAAATTGTTTGATGCTGACTCATACTGTCTATCGTCCTTGCTGAAAGTAGAAGGCGGAGTGGACGGTGTGCATAATTTTTTATTCCAACTCAGCGCCACAAAACACATAGACAGTTCCATTGTAGGCATATACTACGTATATTTTAACCTGATTTTCTATTTGGCTGACATGGCAATGCATTTTTATTAATTCATAGCCTCATTAGAGCATCTTCAATGCTAAAATGTGCACGGTGCACATGTGTCATGAAATATAGCCACATAAATATAATTAAATAAATTATTTCTTTCCTTGAATGATTTTATACAATTTTGGTAAGTTTTTCTTAACAATGTCAACCACAATGTCTACATCTAGGCGGTCTCATTGACATTGTAGAGAAAAACTTACCAAAATTATATTAAATCATTCAAAAAAAGGAGAGAAGTAATTTATTTGCTAATATTTGTGTGGCTATCTCATATGTCACATGTGCACCGTGCACATTGTAGCATTGGAGATGCTCTTAGAGATGCTCTAAGCAATTACGGATACTCACATTCACGTATACTACTGAAAATGGATTATATATCATTTATTAATGACAAAAGTTTCCTTATTATAGCATAACAATAGTAACAATGTACTTCAAAACTGTTCTCATAAAAATAAGTACAATATACATTTTGCATTATGAATTTTCAAAAAATTGATGCCACACAACATAGTCACTTGATAAATCCTTCTTTAATGTGGTGGTGAACTGGTGATTGTCTAGATGAGTTGGTAAATATGCACCCCAGCCATACCTACAATTAGAAATAACTAAATAATTAGAAAGTGTACGCATATTAATAGGAGATATTTATCATCTTGAGAACTAACATCCCTATTTTCATAATTTTGGTGTTCAAAGATTAACCTTCTTTCATTTAAAGTGCCACTTTCATTATCAGTATATACCAACAGATTAATAGGAGTCACTATATGAACACAACTCCATGTTGCTTGTTGGATAAAAATACAGAGTCCTGCTATAGCCATTTCCTCATGTGCTTATTATCTAATTGTAATTGTATTTACTCTAGTATGTAATTATATATACATGTACACAACTTGAACCTGACAGAATATTCGGAGAAAATATTCACTACCATTAAATCCCCCCCCCCCCCCTCTAATTTTCACAGACAAAAGTAATTCTACGACAAAAGATGTGCAGCAAAGATATCAGGATGAACGTTTAATGGCTTATGACCTACCTGAAGTGCATTGCTTCACATAGATTTACTGACATTAAGCCCCCACAGTATTATCTAACATATTCTATAGATGAATAAAATATTGATCACTTAAAATTTCACCATGGCTCACATGCTATATGGCTATACCAAACTGTTTAAACTATACAATAAGGTCTCCTGTACTTCATAAAATTCTAGTAATAGAAGAAAAATGAATTAAGAACCATCTTAACTTTTACACTCCCAAATTTTGAACAATTAGAACAACACAGATTTATTTTTTAATATACATATAATATAACATACTTCTGAATTTAAGAAGATACGATGGAAATTGTAATAAAAAGAAGTTAGTCAAAAGTAAAGACACCTTAGTGAAAAATCTGAGGGCGATGAAGTGAGAAAGAGAGTCAACCACGGTGAGAGGGGGGGTGGCCTGAAAGAGAATAGAAGACGAAAGTTATTCAACAACCTTGTCTCCTAGTAATTTGAATGCACAAAAATAAATAATTAAGGACTGAAAATTTGTCATGTATGAGCTTGAAAGGCCCCCTTAATGTTTTTCTTCTAATAGTCTATCTGTCATACATTTAGATTGAACATTGTATGCCCTTGTTTTATAATTAAAGCCATAAGTGATTGTCTACACTAAATTCTTTAATCTAAGAGACATGTTGAGATGCATTTGGTTAAACTGGTCATAGACTTCAGATATTAATATATTATTCAGATAAGCCAAAAAAGCTTTACAAAGTTCATTGTAATCTCTAAAATATGAAAGTGTATTTATCCCGGGTTTCAAGACCTTTATCACATTAAACACATATGTATAACGCTTAACAAACACCACATAGTCATTAGGGCATGTGAATCATGTGTTCAACTCTCATGCATATGTGGAAATAAGAAAAAAATCCTAGGAGCAATGTGAATAGCTAAAATTGAATCAGATGTGATTGGTTGAAAATGAACAAGACCTCAGAAGTTTTGAGCAAGGCACCTACTGTACCATTACAACACCAATGTCCCTTTGATGTGATGATCGGAGTGTATGCTCTGAAACTCGATGATATGAAGCAACTAGTGTAGCTAAGCTTGATTATATATATGAATTGATTCAGCCCGACAAATAGAAAGAAAAAAAAAGGCCCTCAAATTTCAACATATGAATGAATATATAACTCATTAACGTTAAACGGACACATATTAGCCATACTTTACTCATATTTTTTCAGTATTTAACCAATGCAGTGGTTTAGAACAAAAAAAAGTTCATTGCTATACAAAAGTGTTTAATTACCCACTTTGTAGTTAAACACCATTTGTATCCAATTTCTAGGAAGGTGTTAAACAATATAAGTATAAAATCAAAACCTTAAAAATGATTAGAAATTGACAAGTGTACAAAGTCAAACATAAAACATGAATTAATGTAAATGAACATATATTACGAAATACTGTAGTTCACTAATGTATAGAAGTATTCCTACACGAAATTATCCATCACCATCCATTTGAGATCCATGTTGCAGATTCTGGCAGTTAGATGGTGATAAAAGGGTACATGAAAAGATAAATGTGTGTGAAGAAAGCACCGAGGATAATTGATTTTCTTGTTGGTTCTTGTGCATAAAAGGGTGAAAAACTTACCCACTGTGTGTTACATGTAGAATACAAACATCAAAGTCATATAGAAACTCTTTTTTCCTTCATTATCTGGTTGGTTCTTGTGCATAAAAGGGTGAAAAACTTACCCAATGTGTTACATGTAGAAATCAAACATCAATGTTATATAGAAACTCTTTTTTCCTTGTAAAGTAGTAATGTTAATTTATTAGTCCTGAAATAAATAAAAAACAATTGTGTTTAAATAAATACAGTGATAAAGAATCCCAACTCACTAACTAAATCAAACAATTTAGTTAAAGAATTGCATATTTAGTCAAACCAATGGGCAAATGGAACTTTAAGTACAATAATGATTCTCATTCCCCCATCGTTTGTTTCATGCCCCTACCATTATTTTGATACCGGCTCCAGCTTCTTCCAATGTGAAATATCTAACAAAATGAAGCCCCATTGAAAACTTAGATACCCAATCAGTCACTTGTTTATCTGCAAAATATTTGGAAAAGGAGTTAGTGTTTTCTCAATGGGATGAATTGCTTAGATTTACTGCTGAAACCTTAGGGATATAACTAGCCTTAAAACTGCTTGGGAAAGGTAAACATAAAAATTGCTAGGAAAAGTCATGTACTTATGTTCGGTTTTATTTTACTAAGAAGTTCATTATAAGAGTATAATAAAGTAATAAATAATTGTTTCTGGCAAACACTGAATACAAATTGCATATATATGGTAGTAGAATATGAAATTGGGTATGAGTGTATGACTGTATGTATTTACCTTCTTAATATGAATCCAATTTTGAAAAGGGTACATCCCGGCGAGTATGAGAATCAAACCCTGGGTAGTCATGGATTGAAGACAAAATTCATGTGCTTTGGAATGAAGAATAAGAATTAAGATGGATGAAATCAAACAAATGCAAAATAAAAGCGAAAAAGAAGATCTGGACAATTCAAAGGGAAGCAAAATCTTGATTAAGTCACGATCGAAATACGTATATGAATAGAAAGCGCTCAAGCTCCTGAGACATGAAATAGATTTAACCTTCTGGGCATAAATTGAACATTAATTTAAATCGAATTGAAATAAGGATATGGAGAGGATATTAATATACCTGAGAAGTCATTTAAGCTGTGCTATGGCCGAACTGATCTGGATAATCCATCGAAAAAAAGCGACTGAGAGTAGGTCTGAAATTCTGAACTGAATTTTTTCAATGAGAGAAGGAAGGAGTGAAAGGGTTTAGGTCATCAACAAATGAGTACTGGAGAGACCGAAAAATGGGAAGAGATGGAACTGCCAAGCGATAAACCGAAAAATGACCTGAGCCGTACATTGAGCGATGGAAATCTTGCGGCCGACATGTGATGAATCCTTCAGCAGGAAAAAGTACTGCAATTATGTAGGATGATTTACATAAGAGCTTCACGGCATGTCAATTTCATTTCAGCCCCAATATCAGCAAGCATAGAGTACAACACACTCTTTCTGTGGAAAGATTCATTGGATAAATCTTTGGCATTCTCTATTCCTGCATCAGCCATCATATTTCTAACATTCTCAACATCCACCCATCTCCCTTTTACAGCATATATATAAGTTAGCAGTAGATATGGTCCGATGTCATCTGGCTTCAATTTGATCAACTCCCTAGCCATGATAGCACCAAGCTCTGTATTTAAATGGGTCCCACAATCTGACAGTAAGGAACCCCAAAGTGTAGAACCCAACTCCGTGAGGGGAAAGATATCAGAATCATTCTTCAGCAAACGAGACCGTCCAAGGAGATCAACCATGCATCCAAAATGATCATCCGTGGGTTCAATCATGTAGACTCTGAGCATCAAATTGAAGCACCACCAACCCTCTACTAACATCTTGGCATGAACACAAGCACTCAAAACACACACAAAAGTAGCACCATTTGGCATCATTCCACACCTTCCCATATCCAAAAACATTTCAAGAGCTTTCTCACCCTTGCCATGTATTCCATACCCCATTATCATAGAATTCCATGTCACGACACTCTTCTCTGGCATCTCATCAAAAACTTGCTTGGCCAGATCCACTGCCCCGCATTTCGAGTACATCGTTAAAACGGCGGTTGACAGCAAAATATCAGGTTTTATTTTTTGCCTGTTACTGTTGATATAGAAATGAATCTTTTCCCCTATGTCTAACCTCCCCATGTGTGCACAAGCAGTCAAGACACTCACTAAGGTGGCCTCGTTTGGCTTAACTCCTCCTCCTCCCATCATTATATCAAACAATCTCAAACACTCGTTGCAGTCCTTTATCCTCACATATAGAGCCATCATAGAATTCCATGAAACAACATCACGGAAGCAACCCATCTGATCAAACAATGATCGAGCAGAAATGACATCTCCTATTTGAGAATACCCAACAATCAAAGTATTCCAAGAAACAATGTCTCTGGAAGGCATATTATCAAACAACTGCTTTGCAGTGTCTAGATCCCCAATCCCAACATAACCCGAAATCATTATGTTCCAACTGAAAACATCTCTCTCAGGCATTGTATCAAACACCTGATGGGCAAACCCCACCTCCCCATTTTTAACATAGCCATCTATCATAGTGTTCCAAGTAACTAAATCTGATTCGGGACTCATATCAAATACCTTCCTTGCATCTCCAACCCTCCTACACACCGCATACATATGAATCATAGTGTTTCTAATATACAAATCCAACTCGAATCCATGCTTCACTACATTGGCGTGAACCTTCTCACCCTCTCTTAGTGAACACATATCAGCACAGGCATTCAATAACACCGGGAATGTATATTTATTCGGAAAGATCCCTTCTTTAACCATTTTATGAAAGTAAAATGCTAAAGCAGTTCCGGGCTCATCAAAACTTGCATAACCTCTCATGATTGTATTGCACATAAAAGCATCAGGCTGTTCAATATAGCCAAAGAGCGTAGCAGCATCAGGAAGTGTGGCTTTCGAAGAACAGAGCTTTTTCACAAGCCGGCCCAAGGGCATGGGGTGCTGAAAGATTCCAGAGACAATGAGCTGGGCATGAACTTGGTTTAACTGTTGGAGTGTGGGTTTGATTTTGTCTAGCTTGAGCAAGATGGGATTGCTTCGCCATGACATGCACGCTCCTTTATCTTCTGGGTTGGAAATGGGGTCATTAGGCCAAAGCTTTGGAGTTGGTTTTGAAAGGTTTTTCTGAATTTGGATAAATTTTTGAATGTTGAGAGAATTTACGTTAGCTCTGGCTTGAGTATTCATGATTACAGATGACCAAGTCGAGAAGAATGACCGAATGACCATATGCACAACATTTTGCAACTGTATAAAAAATAAAATAAATTTACAATCCATATGTAGAAATTGAAGTTGGCCCAAAAAATCAGCCCAAGCAATTCATATAAGCTTCATCAATAGTTTTCTACATCTTTTTTGTGTGTTTTGTTTAATTATTAATTTATTACTCCTAAATTCCTAATATTAAATGATAAAAAATGACTAAACGAAATAAATAAATAAATAAATATTTTATGTATTTATTTATTATTTATTAGATAACATATAAAATACTTGGGTAAATAAGTGGATTATACGGAGTAATACTTAAAATATACGTAGTAGTTTTTAAAGAAGAACATTCATTATTCCTCTAAATATAAAAGAAACATACCAGTAATTCTTAACACCACATCACATATTATGTTATAGTAATTTCACACTGATAGTAAATGAATGGGATCAATACATCATAAGTAAAGGAGTATTGGTAAGTTTTGACTTAGGTGTCACTAGGGGTGGACATGGTCCCAGGACCAAACTGGATCGGGAAGGGCGGTTCTCGAACCAAGACTGAGACCAAAAATAAGATTTCGTGCTGGTATCAAGACCAGACCAATTTGTTGTGAAGCTTTCCATGGTATATAACTCTGGACCAAACCATTCTATGTTTGGGAGTTTGGGAGGGAAGGGGAAGGTTTTGAAGTGCGTAGAGGGAAGGGAATTGAATGGAAGAGAGAAAGGAAGGAAATATTCTTCTATTAAGTTACGAATTTGGAACGAGGGTTTTTTAAAGAAATTTTAAATAAAATTACATATGTACCCTTTTTCTATAACATAAATCATAATACTGCATTGGGTCTAATAATTTGTTATTGTTTACATCACTAGTTGGTTTGATATTTTTCCTTCAAAAACTTACTTCAATATTTACTATTTACTAATACACAACATACTACGTATTTGAACAATGACAACATTTAAATTCACATTTCAATTTACACGTCATCAAAGAATTATTTAAAATTTAAAACAATATATCCAAAAACATACTATATGCACAAAGTTTTAAGAAAAAAAACAAAATGAAAACTACGGAGTAAAACATAAAAGTAGATAACAAGCTTTACATTTCATTTTGAGAATTAATGATAACATATTACAAACACATTCAAGTCAATAACATAAAAACAACTAAAAATAGAAAGTTTAAAATTATACCATAAAAACCCAAAAAAACTACAATCTGAAACACCTTCACCAAAGGGTGTCATAGAAGACCTTGTGTAAATCAAAAGTAAAAATCTGTAAATCAATCCTTAAAACCTATACTGCCACCTCAATCTGTACAAAAATGCTATGCTACCTCTGTTCTTAAATAGTTGCAACATTAGAAATTTCACACTATTCACGTACTCAAATTTGACTACATTGTATTTACGAATGCATTAAAAATTTAATTTAATACCGTAGTATATACATAATTAGATTCTTCTTATTTACATTTTTCAAGATGTGATTTTTAAAAATATTTACAATTAGGGAATTAAATATATTAACGATAGAAGTTGTGTGTTGGCAAACGTGAAAATGGAAGTGTTGCAACTACAAAAGAACGGAGGAAGCACTATTTAAGAAACTTGAATATTAGTATATACGTTTAGTGGGTGCAAATAAACAGAAATTTTTGTAAACAAAATAAACAATCTAGCTAGTAGCTACTGAATGTTGGAGGATCAGATTGTTAGAATAATTTAGTACATCAAATGCAATATGCCTACTGCAAATAGTCAGAACATTTTTTAAACTGTTACTATACTCATATATAACAATTAAATATTTGATCAAATATACACTTGGCGAGTAACATATGTGGAGTATAAACTGTATAATACAGCTTGATCATATAGTGAGCAAGTAACCTATATAAAACATGTGAAAGTAATTTTTTTAAATAAATTGTTATATAAGCTATAAAGTAAACTGGTCAATGATCATCTATTAGTAGTAAAAAATATTTACACAATCTAGCTAACATAGCATAGAAACAGTTGCTCAATAGTTATATGCTCTTACACAAAATAAACATACAATCATTTGCAAATGTTTATTTTCATAAATGTTTTAAAAGGCAGACGTGTCACTTCAATTTTATGTGACTCAAGGAAACTACTCCCTCCGTCCCATTTAAAGGTTCTCGTACACCATTCTCCGGTCAACGTGCATTGTTCTTAATCTTTTACTTTATATATCGAAAGTTTATGAAATTTAAATTATTTTTTGCAGGTTTTGTAGTGGTTTTAATGTAGTTTCTGAATATGTAAATTTTATTTACTAAAAAAAATTCTATTAATGACAGGGATCAATTAACTTTATTGTCAGTCAAACATCCTAAATTGTGTGGGAACATTAAATATCATTTCCCATTTTTGTAGTGTCAAGGAAACTAAATATCATGACAGACTACTGTGAATTTCATTTCCCATTTATGTGATGTCAACTAACATCAAGATAGCAATCAAACACCTTCTCTGGTTTTGAGAAGCATTTTCGAAATAGGTATGATCAAAGGCATAGACATAATGTCCCACTTCACTGCAATTAAAATGAAAGAAGCACAACTTATTTTAAACTGTAGCTAGAAGTGTTAAAAGTTGTAATCTCCTATCAGTGTGGGGCTAGAAGCTTGCTTCTGAAATGCAGTAAGAGATTATTTTTCAAATAAAAGCATATTTTAAGATCTAAAGAAGTATTTTATTGAGAAGAGTGCAAAATAAGGTTATTTAGAAGTTAAAAACTAAAATGGGAAATAAAAAATTTCTGAACTAATTGCAGATTTGCAAAAAGTTTCCATACACTGGTTTCTTACTTCAGGAAAGGAAAATTTTCACCAATGTATGGTAATATTATTTCAGAAGAAGGTTGAAAGGAAAATGTTTAGAAATGCTACAATTTTGGGCAAATAAGTTATTTTTAAAAAGGCACATATATATTCATAATAGAAAGCTAAAAAGGGGAAGAAAATTAGATGAGGTTTTCAGGATAACTCCCAAAGAAAATAACAGAGATGCAGGGGCGGATCTACCTTTGCCATCCGGGGGGGGGCTAATTTTAAATAACTAACGCATATTGCAGCAAAAAGGTCAAATCTAATATAATAAGTCTATTTCACAAAAATTATTTTCAGGTATAAAATAACATCAAATGTTTTAGAATTTTGAATTTTCGTCAAATACACAAAAACCACAACTTTACAACTGTTCTGTACGGGTTTTCATCATCGACTGATATTGTTTCATAATTATTAATTAGTAACTCAACTAATACTAAGTAACTAAATACTTTATATCAATATTAACAAATCACAATCAAACTCATACTAATATAAATGATGCCCAAATGACAAATTAGAACTAACGAATCACAGATCACATTCATAGTAAATTCATACTAAATATTAAAACTAGTAAGTGGCTCACTCAAATAATCAAACTACTCAAATTGAATATAGTTCACCCAAATAAGCAGAACGGCTAAAGAAATTTCGCAAAGTAGCAATTAGCAAACTTAGAAGAACAAAAAATAAACTTAACGGCAAAGCGGCCGGGCGAGGAAGAGCAAAAATGGCTGGCTGAGCACTGGAGTCTGGAGCAGTCGAGCTCTGGAGAGAATGAGAGATGAGAGGCGAGAGTGAATGAGTGATAAGCGCCAAGCGGGCTGCCGACAACCTTGCCGCCGTGTGCTGACCGTCCGACGGGTTAACGGACCACCGTGACACCGTCCACGGTCCACCGACTCGCGAAGTTGCGAAGAAGTCGCAAAAATGGCGGGCTGAGCACTGGGTTTGGTTTTGTTTGCCAAATAGCGATGCGTCGATCCCCTGCGTCCTTGGGCTTCTTGCTGATTTGGAGACTTTGGGCCATGTTTAGTTTTGGGCTTGGCTGCTTGGAAAATGGAATTACGGACGAACGGACTACAAGGCTAACTCTATTGGGTATATTAAGGTTTTTTTATGGGGAATTCTAAATACAGCCATCTATTTGCTAAACAAAGCCAAACGAAATTCTCTTAAAAAATTAATTATTTATAATTCCTAATGTACCCTTTATAAAGAAAGTAACAAAACCTCATCGTATAGTCCATAGATGTTCGAACTATGACTTCTTGAAATACGAAGAAAAACTCATTACATGGAGGGGAAAAGAACAAATCACCTACTACTATAGACGATTGCTATAGATGTTTGGCTAAAGGGTCAAATAGGTACATGAACTAACCTAAAGTGTTCAATTAGCCCCTTATATAGGAGTTTCTGACCGGACGTCGCCAATTGGGGCGGTTCCCGGTGGAATTTTTTGATGAATTTTTTTGAGCATCTTCTTCATTAAGTCTAGTGTACCCAGACCAAATTTCAGCTAAAAATTCAACCGGGAAGGCAGTCGAATGATTTTCTGAAAAATTAAACAGCGCAGTACATTTCGGAAAATAATTCGACTGCCTCCCCGGTTGAATTTTTAGCTGAAATTTGGTATGGGTAAACTAGACTTAATGAAGAAGATGCTCAAAAAATTTCATCAAAAAATTCCACCGGGAACCGACCCAATTGGCGACGTCCGGGCAGAAACTCCTTTATAAGGGGTTAATTGAACACTTTAAGTTAGTTCATGTACCTATTTGACCCTTTAGCCTAGATGTTTTTAGTTTCTCTCCAAGTTTCTTTCATTCTTATTTCTCTGTGTTACTTGGCTACTTCCGTTTCTATCTCTGGTTTAAGCCTTACCCGGAAGCTTCCAGATTAGAAATTTACAGAGCAATATAGAAGCAAAAGCCATAAAATAAAATAATGTTTTTTTAAGGTAGATTCTATGGTACCCAAAAGGTACTATACCTTTGTCCACATGGACCAATGAGAATGTAGCAATTGAATTATTTAAATCTAAATTAAAAGTGATAAAGTGATGTGGTCCAATCAAATGAATGGTAGGTACGGTACCCCATTTTTAAAAAGGTACCGGAGTTGTAATAACGATGTATTACAACCCTCAATACTTGAGAATTCAACAACTTTGCTCCCCATGTCCATCGTATACCCCAAAAATCCCTACTTCGAATAATCTCGAACAATTTGTGAGGACGTTCTATATGTACAACGTCAAGACTATCATGACTACTTAGGATCTGATCGTGCTTTGATCTGCACCTCAGAGAACAAACCTTCGGGACTCAAATCTGGATGTTGTCTGGAGAAGCCTTAGACCCCGTTTTGGATGGAGGCTGCAGCAAGTTTTATCGCATCAAGGGCTGTATTATTCTAGAGGGCAAATTAGATATTTGCATTTATTTAATTTAATAAATATTTAATTAAGGGGCTGTACTTAGCAATAGAGAGGCTGTGAATAGAACTTCCCTTTTTTTATTTTTTGATAGTGGGCCTAGTTTTTACACCTATATACTCCGTACTAGTTTAAAAAGGTATAAAACCACGAATTGTAAGAGTTGGGACGAGTTTTCTCTCCACGGCTTCGACTATGTCGGCTGCTGGAACATTTTTCCGATTTCGACTTTGTCGAAGATCGGCTTTGCTATCCCTTGGTCGCTGGTGCTCGGTTGGAGTCCAGGTCAGACGCGGAGGGCGGAGATCGGTGGAGGGGGGTGGATTTGTTGTCATGGCTCGAGGAGATCGGCGTTGTGGTCAAGATTCGAGGATGCGGCGTTGCTGTTATCGTTGGAGAAGATCGGCGCCGCCTATCCATTTACTCTAGTCATACGGAGCAGGGATGAGTTTGGTTATGCAGGGACGGAGGATTGATGCATGGTCATTGGCAGCCAAAGGCCATGGAGGATCAATTAGCATTGTACCGGTGATACGAGGTGCTAGAGTTCGTGAAAGTTTTTCTTGTAATTTTTATTTGTTTGTTATTTGTTTTCTTGTGTCCGCTTTTGGTGTTGGTTCTAACAGTTTGTTTGAGTTTTTTGCATCTCTTTATGTCATTGGGTATGGTTGGGTCTATGGGAACATGTTTGGTTGTGTCAAGCCCACAACATGGTTAGCGATTCGTGTTGCTCTCTCAGGGGTGACCGTCTCAAAGTCTCACCATAGGGTTACAGTCGTAGTTGTTGGAGTTTCAGTTGGTGTCAGTTTTATTTTCCTTTTGCTTGATGTAATGATCCTGAATCTTTTGATATGAATAGAGATGTTTTGACGATAAAAAAAAAGTATAAAAAATGAGGGTGGGCCTGGCCCGTATCTGGCCTTAGGCCCAATACTCCCCTGATTTATTATTTTATACTCTCTAAACCAACATGCATAATAACATACTTCAAGTCCTTTAAAACAGAAAAAAATAAAATTCATTAAATTGTTAAATAAAACAAAGTAGAATCATGGATACAGAATGAGTGAATGAATAAACAAATAAATCAGGAGAAAACAAAAAAAAAATTACTCAAATACATATCTTACTTAGCATTATGAAACAAAACATTAACAATAGCATCATAATCAAACTTTTTTAACACATTATGTTTAAACTTTAAAACTACTAGGAATCCCAAATTAAACTAACTCAAGAAAAAATCACCCATAAAATGACTGTTAAAATTAACTGAGTAATAAGAAGCATCGACACACATATTAAAAAATAAATCACCGTTCATACGAATTTTTCAAACCATGTCTTAACCGTTTTTGGAGCAATGAAGAAGATGAAAGATATCACTCTAGAAAGATGAGCAAAGGGGACATCAATGGTTAATTTTTGCAGCCCCATGCTCTCCCATATGTGTTAGATTGAAGTACTCTTTTCAATAAAATAAGTCAATATATCAATTATAAAATATGTTTGGTAATACTTAAATTGGATTAATATGTTGAATCTGCTGAAGTTGATGAGAGTTCTGCAGTAACCATCATTGGCTCAATTATGCCCAATTTCGGATCAACGAGTTATATTGATTTGTCAAAGGTGATTAACTCAGAGTCTGGCCCAAGGGCGGATAGTTGCTTGTGGTGCTTTTGTTATTTTAACCCCTTTTTGAATGTTGTGATTTTAATCTAAGCCCCTTTTGACGATAAAAAAGAACTAAAACGACTATCTACGTTAACTTCAATCTATTCAGTTACAAAAATAACTACAACCTTACTTATTCTGATTCTTACATAACTCAAGAGATGATATCAAAAGTTACGTGTTTGATAAAAAGTTAGCGGATATGCCTGACAAGCTGAAAGTCATTAATACCAAACGAGTTCGTAATCTTAGTTTTTCTGAGTACTATAAGATTCAAATTATGAAATTAAAAGTTCAGTGTTTAGGAAAAATGAACAATACTTTTGATGAGTAGAAAATGAAGCTACCAAACATGCCATTAATCAGAGTCTCACATCTTAGAACTTATTCTTAGTGTTTGCGGTTTAGCTATTTATAAATGACATTGAGAATCAAATGAAATCACAAAACATAGAAACTTGGAGTTCATTTAAAAGGTATTACATTGCAAAATATACATTTTTAATAATTATTGGTTCGTGCACATCTACATGTGTGCATATGCCTTACAAATTAATGAGTCCAAAATTGAAGGGAAATTAAAATTCACAATACGTCTTATTTTTTTAATTACAATTTTTTTTATAATTACAACTACACTAAAGCCCTATAAATCATGTTTCCAAAATGTTAAAGACTACTTCTTAATTTTCATCTACAACTATTAATGGTGTTCTCAAGTTTCACTTTTGCCCCATCACATCGTGATCCACCTCATGCCCAATCTCCATAAAGAAACAGACGTATACATACCAAAAGAGAATTAATCAAGGAATATTTTTGAAACATATAGATATCTTTGGGCTACTTCGGTGTGGTGTGGTGCAACTCTTTTTCAAATGTTCAGAAAATCTATGTCTAAACTAATAAACTACGGTATGTTGTTTAACAACATTCAGAGCGTGGAGAAAGCAAAAGAATTAGCATAAGGTCAACCTCTCATGTGTTAAACATATCCAGAAGCACCTTTAACATAATGAAGCATATAGGCTAGGTTCAAAGCGCACACAAGCACCATAAAAAGTTTTCCTGAAAGAACAGAACAAAAAAATAAGATGTCAATGTTGTATTTATCACTTAATTCCATCATCCCTACTAGAAGCACCCACTTTTCAAAGATTTGAGAAATATAATCACATAGATGAACGGTGGTTTAACTTAAGAAAAGTTATGACAAGATGATACATTCATGAAGGAGAGACTTCCGGATAGAAATGCAAAATTTATAAGGTTTATAACCAAAGTCGTGTTTTTGTGTGATGTGGGGAAGCCAATACTCGGCAAGCAAGTGACACTAAAATGGGATGGAGAAATACGTATATGATCATTTGTGGAGAAGGTGGCAACAAAAAGAAATAACACTAACATACTCGGCATACCCGCACGGGTAGCTCAGTTGGTCGAGTGGTGAGAAATTTGGAACAATGACCAAGGTTCGAATCCCCGCAGCGGCCGAGTGGAGGTCACATAACCTGAAATAAGGCTGGGCCTCTGGTGCGCACGGGTGCATGAGCCTACTGCCACTCTACTGACTGAGTCACCGTGACTTACATCCTCCCAAAAGTCTTGTCAGGTCGGGGCGTGGGGGCACTTGGGGTTGGCGATTCAACCTTTTGGAACAACTAACATACTCGGCAAGCAAGGCACACACATGCAAATAAAGTTAATGACAAAGTCAGTTCATGGGAAAATACTACTCAAAGAATTCTTTCAAGTCGATCATCAAAGCTAATGACCGATAGCATCATCCAGGGATATAATTGTCCAATAAGATAATGTCAGACCACACATTAATATAATTGATCTACAATTCTAAGCTAAAATGTGGGTGAGAATCAACAGATCATTTCACCTCCTATACGTTCATAACCAGATTAACACAATCACAAAGTCACCTCAACCAAATAAGTCCTACTCAATTATCACACCACTAGAGTTCAAATAAGTCATTCTGAGACTCACATTACTAATGAGAACAAGGCATCATAAGTATGGACTAAGTTTAAACATGGGTGGCAATCAACAAACAGAAACATGCAGGAGAAGAGTAGGTGAAAGATGGAAGTTACATAGTGAGAGGCGGGGTTGAAGACAAGTGAGAGACGAAAAAGATAAAGAATTAGAATAATCAAAAGTAAATGAGGGACACCGAAAAGACAAATTGAGAGTGGTGGATAAATAAGCATAAGCATAGATAGGAGGATATGGTCATTAGTGAAGCGCGTACTAGGATGTTTTCTTTTGGATTGTTTTCAGTCCCAGATCAGATCAGACCCGACCAGACCAGATCAGACTTCCTTAGTTATAAAATACACATAGACCAGACGTTTACCAGACCAGACCAGCAAATTTCAGTCCAAAAGAAAATATCCTTATTCATTTCCAATGTTCTAAAAGGCGCTAGGCGCTAGTCGGGCGCCAGCCCAGCGCCTAGCGCCTAGGTGGCTAGGCGGGCGCCTAATCGGGGACTAGTCGGAGACAAAGAAATTGGTTTTTTTATCTATATTTTTGCACAAATATGATAAGTAATATTGTATTTTTGTGTGTATAAAATACATATTGAAAGATAGAATTATCACATTCAATCATACGTAGTATATGATAACTAATCACTAAACTTCATTATGTTATAAATATAAATAATGATAAAATTTAGGTATTTATACAAGCATGTATAGTTTTATCTTAATTTACAACTTCATTTCTTCATATCCATGACTAAAGTTAAAGTATGTATATCACTAAGAAAATTAAAATTATAAAGTAAAGTAATGTTCGGCGAATCTAGACGACGACCTAGGCGGTCGATTAGGTGCTCTAGGCGGGCAACTAGGCGCCATAGGTGACCGACTAATTCACCTAGACGGCAAACCAATTAGTCAGAGCGCCTAGACGAAAATCGGGGCGCCCAGCCACCGCCTAGCGCTTAGGCGGGGACTAGTCGGGCGCCTGGAACGATTTTTAGAACCGAGGTCATTTCATAAGGAAATGAGAACATTGTTTTGTGACATTCAAAGTAAATAAGAGAACCTCCGATTGAGAGGCAGAAAGTATAACTGTATAACTTATAACTTATAAAGGGTATGGCCAAGTCTGAATATGAACCGCAAGATTGAGATAATAAGCAGGTACACGTCAGATTAAGGATGCCACGTGGCATTTGAAAATCCAATCGCACATCTACTTTCCTATCCTCTCCCCAAGATAAGCCCCCTTCCCCATCATCAACCAGACACATACTTGCATTCAAAATGGCAGCACCCGCCTGCGCATCATCCACCATCGCCGCCGCCGCCGCAGTTGCTTTCTCTTCCCGGAGGCAAGTCCGATCCCACCATTTCCCATGCATATGATATCTACTTAATTCATCTACTGCGGGTTTATTAGGTTCTAATTGATTCATTAATAGGAGCTAGATTTTTTTATAACCAAATGCAGCTCCCAAACGAAGATTAGTCCTTTCCTCTCCGGAAGAAAACTAAGAGTGAAGAAGTACGCTGCCGCCACTTCATCAAGGTCGTCGACGGTATGTGCTGCGGCGGCTGATCCCGGCAGACCCATCTGGTTCCCTGGCAGTACCCCTCCTCCCTGGCTCGATGGCAGGTTTTTTTAGCAATATATGGGCATCAATTTTGCACTTTTTGCTTATGATCAAACATTAAATCAGTACAAACCCAGTATATAACATTTATTGATATTTAAGTAAATGCTTCCATTTTTTATCAAATCAACAACAAATTTAAGTATACTCTACTTATATATTCAATTCATTCTAACTTATAAACATTTTATCAATTTAATAACAATCACGTGTATCATTTTTATTAATAAATAAATTGAGTTAGTAATTTTCTTATTATGCTTATAATATTGTCATTTGAAACAAAGAATCTCCATATTATTATTTGGTACTAAAATTAACTTAAATTGTTAAAGGATATTTATCCTTAAACATATTTTCGCACACTAAAATATACTCCGTATTTAAAAGTTTACTGCAATAGGTTTGTGCACATTATTTAAGGATGAAATAGTAGGGACAATGAATAGTGTAGAAAAATTGGAAGAAAGGGTAGTTGAGTATTTTAAAAGAAAAATTTACCAAAAAAAAAGAAAGTGTAGCAAACTTTGAAATACATTCAAAACAGGAAAGTGTAGCAAACTTTTAAATACATTCAAAACCGGAAAGTGTGGCAAACTAAAATACAAGGGAGTACTACGTATGTTTCTTTTGGGGTTACGGCTACTGATTTAGTATTATCTATACATTGAAAATAAAGATTGGTTGTGTCATTGTATTCATTTTGACAAGTTAGTGAGTTACCACCCTTTAAATCATGAAATCCTATTTGTATTATGAAATGTATTCATTCATTTAAGGGAAAACTGTCAAATAGTTCCTCGAACTTCAAAAAAAGGTCAAATAAGTCCTTATATAGGAGGCTTTGTCCGGCCGTTGCGATTTGGGGTGGTTTCCGGTAGAATTGTTTGATGAAATTTTTTGAGCATCTTATTCATCAAGTCTAGTTTACTCATACCAAATTTTAGCTAAAATTTCAATCGGGAACACATTCAAATTAATTCTTGAAGATAATTGCTCATTTAACTGCACAGTTATCTTCAAGAATTAATTTCAATGCGTTCCCGATTGAAGTTTTAGCTGAAATTTGGTAAGAGTAAACTAGACTTGATGAATAAGATGCTGAAAAATTTTCATCAAAAATTCCACCGGAAACCGCCCCAAATTGCGACGGCCGGACAGAGCCTCCTATATAAGGACTTATTTGACCTTTTTATGAAAGTTCGAGGACTTATTTGACAGTTTGCCCTTCATTTAACTCAATATATCATACTTCTTTAAAAGCTGTGATGGCAAATCACATATCAATACAACAATTATGACAAATTATTGGGAAATTAAGTGAAAATGAACTTCATTTGATGAAATATGACAGTTTTATACTCGGGAATAGATTTTGAAGCAGAACTCTTTTTGTAGACCGATGAGCTGATGAGATAGAAAAATATGGTCGATCGGGTCGAGGTGGAACCTTGAGTAAAATTTTAAAGCCATAACCTGACCCACCACCGACTGTAAGTGGACTACTTCCAACCATCATTTAGAGAAAAATAGAGCTAGGCCGGGTTCGACCCGTAACCAGAGGAGTAGGTATGGGCCGCCTCTGAAGGTCATCCTGGATTCAGGACCGCCTCAACTCCGGTAAATAAACTGGACTCTTGGCTATGAGACCCTTGGCAACCATGCAACCCGAGGCTAAGAGAAGGGCTTGTCCTCAGCCTACAATGCAGGGGCAGATCCTGGAATTTGAATTAGATTAGACTGAGTTGGATTAGACTGAAATAAATATTGAGATGGGCTAGATGGATATAAGAAATATTTTACATTAATAGACTTATAAAAAAATCAGGTAGTCTTGAGTCTGAAATTAGTGTGCTCCTGAGATCGGTTAGATCAAATGCATATGTTTCTAACAGACCTGATGATATCTGATTATCTGCTTTGCAGCCTCCCTGGAGATTATGGTTTCGATCCTCTTGGTCTTTGTAAGTTTAATTTCTCATCTCATCAGCCCATCACCAAATATACGTATATAACAGATTAACCCCATTGGCATTAACCTGGCTGTGGAACATTTGACAGCATCTGATCCGGAAAGCTTGAAGTGGAACCAGCAGGCCGAGCTTGTGCATTGCAGATGGGCGATGTTGGGTGCCGCAGGCATTTTCATCCCGGAGATCCTCACAAAGCTCGGGATTCTGAACATTCCTTCATGGTACACAGCCGGGGAGCAAGAGTACTTCACCGACAAGACAACTCTCCTTGTTGTCCAGCTCGCTCTCATTGGTTGGGCAGAAGGGAGACGTTGGGCAGATATCGTCAAACCAGGTAGTGTAAACACGGATCCCGTCTTTTCGAACAACAAGCTTACTGGAACAGATGTTGGCTATCCGGGAGGGTTATGGTTTGACCCGCTGGGTTGGGGCTCTGATGGTTCTCCTGAGAAGATCAAGAAGTTGAGAACCAAGGAGATCAAGAATGGAAGGCTAGCCATGTTGGCGGTTATTGGCGCATGGTTCCAACATATCTACACTGGAACGGGGCCCATTGATAACCTCGTGGATCACCTCGCCGATCCGGGCCATGCCACTATTTTCGCTGTAAGCACTTTCCAGTCATCCTACACCACCTAAATATAAAAAAACAACTTCAAGTCTTAATAACCACTAGTCTCATGACTCAAGCAGAAATGGTAACACTTGAAAATTTCTCAAGAATTGTACAATTGTTTGAGGCCTTTGTCTTGTTTCTACTTTTGAAAATATAATTATTTTTATTATTCTAGAGATTTTATGAAAAAGTGATTAATGAAGGGGAGCCATGCAATTTTGGACGCGATTTTCATTATGGGTCATCCGGAAACAGTCTCTCTGTGCTTTAATTACAGGGGTAAGACTGCGTACATCCGACCCCCCTTACCCCACCGTAGGTGGGAGCCTTTGCAGCACTTGGGTAAATGATGATTGATTTTATAGCCTTGGCGCACTGGCTAAGGTATTGTTGTGTGAGCTAGAGGTCAAGTTTCAAGTCTTGAGAAGGTCTCTTGTCAAATTTTGATTAGGGAAGAATCGCTCCTTTTACACCCTTCTGGTGGGACCCTCGGTCCGTCGCCTTGACGAATGCCTTCGTGCACCAGACTGCCTCTTTTTTAGTTTTTTTTTTAAATCAAAAAATGATTAATAGTAAAGTTAGATAATGTTTGAACTTTGAAAAGAACATTAGAAAAGTAAAGAGCGGTTTTAAGCACCACCTTCCCTCCTGAACTTTAAATAGAATCACCTGTTTAAAAACACCATTTTGAACTTTTACCACAAAATGTCGAAGAGTTTCTTTAAAGTTTAGATAATTGCAAACACTCCTTTGTAATGATCTTTTCAGGCTTTCACCTCCAAGTGAAGAGGAAAGAAATCTTTAAAAAGCATCGTGTTGATGAAGATATATAGAAGCATGAAAGAACGTAGGCTATTGGAGAGAGATTGACAGATATGCTCATCCTTGGATCATATGTTCATTCATGAAGACAGGAGCGTTGTTGCTTGAGACATTGTCTTGTAGTGTATAACAGATTATGCAGTACTTATTGTGTATGTACAAAATATTTAAATCAGGTACCTTAACTATTTATACCGATGCATTTTGGTATTTTAACTAAAAAATAAAGCAATTTTACTACTACATTTAAATGTATCAACAAGTGGTCTGTTCTAAATGCTAGTCGGAATTTCATATCTATATAATTATATATAATACATCTATATATAGATAATACATTTGAAAGATACAATTATAGAAAGTTTTGTCACGTGTCATCTTCTAAGCAAACACTCATTAGAATAATCAAATTAATTTTACTACACTACATCCTCTTGAAAGAATGATATACATATTACTTATACACTTTTGAATGACAAAAATATGACCTCATTTAAAATTGGATAAAAAATGACCAATTATATGTCTTAGTTTATTGATCAATTGGACATAAATAGCCTGAAAACAAATACAATAGTTAAACCCTAAATTAGATCAGGTCCAACCGCCTTCAATCATCGCCTGCACAGTTGTCTGCTTGCCAAGAAAGAGTTGTCGCCATCAATAAGAAGTTTGAGAGGAATATGAGTGTACAATTTAGAGCGGTTGTTAAGCGACTAATTGAAAGTAGATTGCATTGAAATTTTGGAATGTATAGAACACGTTTGAGACGGAGTCCATTGGGCAAATATAAACTTCCAACATGTACCAGAATGGATTCGCCATTAGGAATTTTGACGGATGATTCTAACGTGTGTCTGGTGATATTAAAAAGATTCATATCACTACAAGTGATATTTTCAGCCTCGGAATCAATAATTCGAGGACGAGCATGTGACAATGTGTATGTCATATTTACTTGAAAACTAGAAGAAGAAGAAGGAGGAGGAGGGGGAGGAGGAGGTGGAGGAGGAGGGGGGAGGAGGGGGAGGGGGAGGCGGAGGCGGAGGGGGAGGGGGAGGGGGAGGGGGATACAAAATTTATATTAATATATATATATATATATAAATAAATACATACACACATATATATATACACACACACACACAATTGTTCATGTCCGGCCAGTTCGGACAGAACCTCTGTCCGGCCATCTCAATTTGAGGTGGTTCCCTATGATATTTTTTGTTGGAATTTTTTGTGTACGTTCTTCATCAAGTGTAGTTCATCCATAACAAATTTGAGAAAAATATTCAATCGGGAAGCCGTCAAATGATTTTTGAAAGATAACTGCATTTTATATGTATATATTCCGGCGCAATTATCTTGCAAAAATCATTTGATGGCCTTCTCGATTGAATATTTTGTTCAAATTTGTTATGGATGAACTAGACTTGATGAGGAATATACACAAAAAATTTCAACAAAAATACCATCGGTAACCACCTCAAATTGAGGTGGCCGGACCACCCTCCTATATATAGATCCTCTAAACAAATTGAAAAAGGAAAGAAATTAGTACTCGGTGTTAGATATCTAATTCGATCGAACTCGATATCTGTATCATACGGAGTATAAAGAATGCCAAATCGTTCGATCTCAAATGTATCATTTTGCAACTCCTTTTAACTGCCTAGAGCAAGACCAACTCATATTATTTTGCTAGACTTGTTTGCAGTCTCTACGTTAGATAAGCTTCCAATCCACAAAAAGGTCAACAATGATTATCAATTAGAGCTTTAGTTATCTGCTATATAGACCCGTGCATGTCCTAAACTACGAATGTAAGAGATCAGATACTCAGATAGGAAGTAATATTGGACTCTAAAATGGAAAAAAGAAACTTTGAGACTTGCTCAAAATTGGACATTTTGAGCAACAAAATAGGCATCGCTGTAGCAGCGGTAGTAATAGGGATTTAAGATTGGTCACGTTATGATTTGAATAAGCCTTTACAGAGTTATCGATTTCGATAACGATATGATTTAGCTTTGCTCCTTTACAAATTGTGAAATTGGGATTGAACTTGCAGCACAATGACTTTATCCTCAAAGAATGATGCACCAAAAGAGAGACAACCTCTTCTAGGGACCGTTTGGAGCACCAAAAATAGGCTGATAAGTCTGAAAATGCTTAAAAATCTCTCAACACCAACCAAATTGGTCACTTGAGCTGATTTTTATCAAGTGAAAAAACAAGTGTGGAGCTACTTTTTCAGCTGATATTTATTATTCCACCGTTGGCAATGGTAAAGATCATTTACCCCGTCATGACCGTAGAGATCAGTGCAAGATTATCATTTAGCTCGCTTGTATCGGAAGAATACCCAACAACCGAATATTCATCTGGCGAATCAATACATATCAAGTGCTGATGGAGTATATTCTCATATACCCCAGGGGTATCATATTCGCCGGTCAAAGACCACAAAGTCTTCACAAAATACTCAAGGACTGGGGATCCAGCTGAGGCCGACATCCCCCCCCCCCCTCGAGATCAGGACTAAGCACCAGACGCCAAATCGACAAAGGAAATAAGACTCAACCGAGCCCGACCTCGACCCCACGAGGTCGGGAAAACACCAAGCTCAGGAATCACCCAGATAAGGCGAAATATGAGGCCGACCTCGAACATTCTGAGGTTGGTCACAACTCTGACCCCTGTGGTTGCGCAAGGTTAACCAGGGCACAAGTCAAACACGAGAGTCAGCGCTACCAGACGAAATCGAAGACCAGAAGGAGATCCTCCATTAACGAGCATGAGCATCCAAGATCTGACCACCAGGAGCTCGGGGTCTCTCAAACGACATATGGACTTAGACATTTCTGGATTAAAGTACCAAGCAGGCCATTGCCACGTCGCAACCGCTTCAGGAAGTGCCATGTCACCCCTGGCGAATAAGAAGAAGAATATTCCAGGTAAGTACCAAGCAGGCCATTGCCACGTCGCAACCGCTTCAGGAAGTGCCATGTCACCCCTGGCGAATAAGAAGAAGAATATTCCAGGTGAATACACGTGTAATCCACACGTGTATTCTGTTACTAGTTTGTTACAAGCAGTTCCAATGAGCCACATATACTTGTTATATCTCCAATCACCTTTACACATGTCAGCATTCTATTAGATTAGTTTGTTATTTCTTTTACAAAGGGACATGTATCCTCTCCATAATAGACTAACATCTTTTTCCCTTGGGCACCAAGTATTGCCTTTTTAGTATAAATATCACGTTCCAACATGTGGGAAGGGATCTGAAACTTCATTCTCTTGTTGTTACTTTGCTGAATATTTACTCGATCTTACTTAGCTACTTTTCCGATCTTCTCCCCTATTTTCCCGGATTCCGGCTACCCCAGAATCGGTAATCCATCAACTGCATATGAGAATGATTCGTATTGGAAGATTACCCCAACCCCATATCAGGATTTTTCCCAAACCCATCAGCTGAAAACGGGCTTGCTCACTCTTGCTTCCCCTTCTATTAATCTGCAATTTCTTTATTTTGGTTGAGGAAATCTCAAAATCCAGATTTTCTATTCATAATCTGAGAATTTTTCCTCTCCAATATCATTCGTATATGAATTTCTTTTCTGCTCTTATGTTTTAAATTGACATGATATTTTGTTAAGCTCTTCGTTTTTAGGTGGTAGAAGTTTGGTGATTTTTTTCTAGATTTTTTTTGTAAAAAGAAATCGTTTTTTTAGTATGGGAAAGACCATTGCTATGGAAAATTTGGCCATATTTCACTTATATACTGATGGTACCATGGACTCTGACCATGACCCAATTATATGAGCACATAACGGGATCAGCCCTCAACGGGATAAGCCCATGGATGGGATCAAACCCTAAACAGGATTAATATTAATAAGCCTCTGGGTCTAATTAAGAATCAGGCCCACAATGGAACCTACAACCATGCCAGGCTAGACAACAAATCTCGAGTCTGGGCGGAGTTCTAGTGAGACCGGGATATTCTTAAGGCTTACGTGGGAGGCTATCATTGGAGCATAACTATCTGGCAGCAGGCAGAAATAAATGGAAGGAACGTGGACTTTGTTAGGCTTTTAATTAAAGCAACACGAATAACAATATGAAAGAATACACAAGATTTGGTAACCAAGTTCGCCATAAAGGACTACATCTGGGGCGCTACCAAGTCAGGATATTGCTATTAATTTTCGGATTCAGCTGATTACAAGGGAGAGAACTTGTATTTATAGAGACACGCGACCCCAAAGCAACTAGGACACGCGGCCCAAAACAGTATGGAAACTCGCGGCCCATCAAACAAAAAAAGGATTGGTTATACAGTCTCTAACACCTTACAGACTTTAAGGAGATAATCATTGCACAACGTCCAAGACGTTACGGGAGTTCTATTCGACTAGAATGTAATTAATAGCATTTATTGTATTAGTTTCCTCCTAAAACACTAGCTCCTAGAGTCTATAAATACTTGTTATATATTTCCTATCAATGGGCCGAACTCCGGATTAATAATATTGTCTTACGCTGCCTAAATTTGATCTGCTCTCGTAGATATAGCTCTCGTAGTTACATTTAACTCTATCATTTGGTGGTCCTCATCACCCATGAAGGCTTCAAGACCTAATACGCCCTCAGGTATTTGTTTAACCTGTCTAACAATGAAGTGGAATACGAGGCCTTACTTTCCGGCCTTAGGATTGTAAATCACTTCAAAGTCCAGAAACTAAGGGTCAAAAGTGACTCTAAGTTGATAATCAAACAACTTAGAGGGGAATACGAAGCCAAAGAAGCACGAATGCAAAAGTACAGGGATACAGCCCGGGAGCTTATCAAACAATTTGAAGAGCCTCTCGTGATGAATAATATTGTTACTACTTTCTTTCATACGATGAATGAATTTTTGATAGATCAAACTCTTCTCACTGGAATTATATTCCATCATATACATAGGATGTTGACGTGTTTAGTTTTCACGCAGAAAGGGTATACAATAATTTAAAGGAAAGCAATAACATATATCATAGTTTAATACCCTTTATGGTAATTTTACATTCAATTAGTTATTTCAACCAATGTATTATCAAACACTTTCACTTCAGCAGATTCTGACATTGCAGCCGCTACCAAACATGCCCTTAATGTATGTATACATTTCTTTCAAAAAATTATTATTTTGTTTACACATTTGTAGAAGTGATAAAGTATGTGAATAATGCTATTTGGTGCTCTCTATGCTAAAATTGTTTTAATTGAATTTCATTTTGTAATCGAGTGTGACAAATGTGTAATATATGTAGATGCCTAAGGATGT